TTCAATAATGGTGTTAATGCTTAGTTGTGTGCGTTCTTTTGTAATTTTTGTTTGATGATATTCAAAGTTTTATCAACAGGAACGTTAGTGAATAGACCAACAACATCAAAAATTACTAGAATATGGTTTGGATTTATGTCTATGTCTGATAATTTTTGTGAAAAATGTTCAGAATTTTCAATATAGAAAGTTGTGTTATTTAATAGGGGATTTAAAATGTTTAAAAGATATTTGGCTAAAGGATGTGTAGGTGAATTTATACTACTAACAATTGGTCGTAAAGGAATATTAGCTTTATGAATTTTTGGAACTCCGTAAAAATGTGGTGTTAATTTTGATCTAACGTAATCTGTGAATTCATGTTTAATTTTTTTAAAGTGTTATAAATTTGTCCTTCAAAACGTTCTGTTGGATTTTTGTTTAATTCTGAATAACTTTTGTCATTTAAAAGTTCATTAATTTTTTGATCATAGATATTCTAATCCATGATGACAGTCGCATGACCTTTATCAGCAGGCAAAATTTTGATTGTTTTATCTTTTTTTAAGGACATTAATGCTTTTTGCTCTATTAGGCTTATGTTTTGTTTAATTTTCAAAGGTTTTTCTAGAATTGTTTCTGATCTTATGCGAAATTCTTCCTGTGGTTCTTCAGGTAAATTTTGAGTTGTTTCTTCTATACTCGAAATAAAATCAAGTTTTGGAACGGTTTTTGGGGTAATTGAAAAATCTAAACCTTTAGAAAGAACGAGTTTTTCGGCTTCGGTTAATGATTTATTAGATAAATTTGTAGTTGTTTATTTTTTATACTAAAAATGTCTATTTTGATTTTGTCGTTGAGCAATTTTTCTAGTTTATAGCTATGAATTTGTTTTTGAATAATAAATTTTCCTTCATAGGTTCTACTAGCGGAATTACATATATGATTAAAGTCAAGTACTTCGTTTTTGAGTTTGACTTTATTTAATCTGTGATATTGAATTCTTCCTCTAACTAAAGCTTCACTTGCTCTGCTTAAGATTTTCGTGGCTTGTGTGTTGATGTCGTATGAGGATTTATAAATAATCTATTTGATATTAAGATTGAATTTAAAGAAATGTTGAGGCAAAATACCCGAAAAGAAGTTTGCAAAAAAGCAATTAGTGTCTGTCTGGGGGCTGAACGTGTGGAGGGTTTCAGGTGAGGAGGACGTGCGGCAACAATGTGGTGGATGAGGGTGAGGAGTGCGACTGTGGGAGCATCGAAACGTGCGAAACGTACGATCCGTGCTGCGATCCGTTGACGTGCAAGCTGAAGTCCGAGTCGAGGTGTGCGAGTGGCCCGTGCTGTGATAACTGCAGGCTGAAGGTAAAAGTCTGCAAAGGGTTAATAGTGTTAGCCATGCAATTGCCCAACCTTCCCCTGAACAAACCCCCTTTATGTCTGGTAAAGTTTCCCCAGGAAAACTCACGTTTCACAGTAGTGAGGGTGAGGAGTTTTCCAGTTTTTTAGTTCGGGATTTGGAGGCTCCTCATCGGCTGTCCGGACACGCCAAAATTCGTCCAGGCCTGTAGAAGGTCTCCTGGGAAGTCCGCCTTCCAAACTGATGAAAAACATTTTTTTTCTCTGCAAAATCCATGAAACCAAGCGTTCAGACTGATGAGGGTGCGGAATTTTCCAATTGCGTCCAACCACTGCTTTGAAGGCCCGTGGCTCACTTGGAACGGATTTTAGACCAAAAGTGCATACTAGATTTTTTGAAGGGCTTTTCATGGTCTTTGCAGGGGCGTCCTTGGAGTTTTGCTATCGATTTTGGTTGACAAATTCTGAAAAATGTCCTGAGAAGGGCAAAAGGTTCGAAACGTTATGTGTAGTTTGTTTCAACATGTGGCTACAAAGGCCGAAACGCAGCAGTTTCGTAACCAGCCCTTAAGCGAAGAAATCAATTTTTAAACGTAAAAAATAGAAAAATTTGTTTGACTAAAAATGCGCTTCTTTTGACAAATTCTGAAATTTTATCCCAATTTGCGAAAATTTGGTACCATTTGGGGCTGTATGAATCCTTTTTCAGAACCCAGAGACTTAATTTTATCAAAAATTGTCTATTTTCTAACACAATCAATTAATAGAAACGTTCAGACCGATGGAGGAGGCGAGTTTTCCAATTTGGCTCAACTGAAGCTTTAAACGTCAGTTGCTCACTTGCGGCGCAATTTCAGAAAAAAAGTCGACAGGGGATTTTTTGTGCAGTTTTTCATGCGCTTTCCAGTGGGGTGCCAGAAATGTTCGTATCATTTTTTGTTTCGGAGCTAAGTCCAATTTTCTGCCAAATAATCCGTCCTTCTAGTTTGTCTTCACTCATTTTAGCTCAATTTGCGAAAATTTTTTCTTATTTGACTTTATTAATCCTTTTTAAGACGCTAGTGACTTAATTTTACCAAAAATTGTCTTCTTTCTAACAGTATTAATTAATAGAAACGTTCAGACCGATGGAGGAAGCGAGATTTCCGATTTGGCCCAACTAGAGTTTTAAACGTCAGTGGCTCACTTCCAGCCCATTTTAGCAAAAAAGTCGACAGGGAATTTTTTGTGGGGTTTTTCATGCGCTTTCCAGTGGGGTGCTAGGAATTTTCGTATAATTTTCCGTTTCGGAGTTAAGTGCAGTTTTCCGCCAAATACTCCATTTTCCGGTTTTCCTTCACTCATTTTAGCTCACTTTTTGACAATTTGGTCTCATTTGACGCTCTATGAATCCTTTTTCAGACGCTAGTGACTTAATTCTACCAAAAATTGTCTTCTTTCTAACAGAATTAATTAATAGAAACGTTCAGACCGATGGAGGAGGCGAGTTTTCCAATTTGGCCCAACTGGAGCTGTAAACGTCAGTGGCTCACTTTCGGTGCATTTTAGCAAAACAGTCGCGAGGGGATTTTTTCTAAGGTTTTTAATGCGCTTTCCAGTGGGGTGCCAGGAATTTTCGTGTCATTTTCCGTTTGGGAGTTAAGTCCAATTTTCCGCCAAATACTCCATTTTTCCGGTTTTTCTTCACTCATTTTAGCTCAATTTTTGAAAATTTGGTCCCATTTGATGCTCTATGAATCCTTTTTCAGACGCTAGTGACTTAAGTTTACCAGAAATTGTCTTTTTTCTAACAGAATTAATTAATAGAAACGTTCAGACCGATGGAGGAGGCGAGTTTTCCAATTTGGCCCAACTGGGGCTTTAAACGGCAGTTGCTCACTTCCGGGACATTTTTTCAAAAAAGTCGATAGCGGATTTTTTCTGGGATTTTTCATGCGCTTTTCAGTGGCGTGCCAGAAATTTTCGTATAATTTTCCGTTTCGGAGTTAAGTGCAATTTTCCGCCAAATACTCCATGTGTCCAGTTTTTTTTCACTCATTTTAGCTCAATTTGCGAAAATTTAGTCTCATTTGACGCTCTATGGATCCTTTTTCAGGCGCTAGTGAGTTAATTTTTCCAAAATTTGTCTTCGTTCTTACAGAATTAATTATTAGAAACATTCAGACCGATGGAGGAGGCGAGTTTTCTAATTTGGCCCAACTGAAGCTTTAAACGTCAGTGGCTCACTGGCGGCGCATTTTTTCAAAAAAGTCGACAAGGGATTTTTTGTGGGGTTTTTCATGCGCTTTCCAGTGGCGTGCCAGTAATTTTCGTGTCATTATCCGAATCAGAGTTAAGTCCAATTTTCTGTCAAATACTCGATTTTTCCAATTTGTCTTCACTTATTTTAGCTCAATTTGCGAAAATTTGGTCCCAATTTGGCGCTCTATGAATCCTTTTTCAGAACCCAGTGACTTAATTTTATCAAAAATTGTCTATTTTCTAACACAATCAATTAATAGAAACGTTCTGACCGATGGAGGAAGTGGTTAAAACGTCAGTGGCTCACTTCCGGCCCATTTTAGCAAAAAAGTCGACAGGGGATTTTTTGTGGGGTTTTTCATGCGCTTTCCAGTGGCGTGCCAGAAATTTTTGTATCATTTTCCGTGTCGGAGTTGTGTCCAATTTTCTGCCAAATATTCAATTTTTCCAGTTTTTCTTCACTCGTTTTAGCTCAATTTTTTAAAATTTAGTCTTATTTGACTTGCTATTAATCCATTTTCAGACGCTAGTGACTTAATTTTACCAAAAATTGTCTTGTTTTAAACAGAATTAATTAATATAAACGGTCAGACCGATGGAAGAGGCGAGTTTTCCAATTTGGCCCAACTGGAGCTTTAAGCGGCAGTTGCTCACTTCCGGCGCATTTTTGCAAAAATGTCGATTGCAGATTTTTTCTGGGATTTTTCATGCGCTTTCCAGTGGCGTGCCCGAAATTTTCGCATCATTTTTCGTTTCGCAGTTAAGTCCAATTTTCCGCCAAATACTCCATCTTTCCAGTTTCTTGTCACTCATTTTAGCTCAATTTGGAAAAATTTAGTCTCATTTGACGCTCTATAAATTCTTTTTTAGGCGCTAGTGAAATAATTTTACCAAAAATTGACTTCTATTTTACAGAATTAATTAATAGAAACGTTCAGACCGATGGAGGAGGCGAGATTTCCAATTTGGCTCAACTAGAGTTTTAAACGTCAGTGGCTCACTTCCGGACCATTTTCGCAAAAAGTCGATAGAGGATTTTTCATGGTGTTTTTCATGCGCTTTCCAGCGGGGTGCCAAGAAATTTCGTATAATTTTCCGTTTCGGAGTTAAGTGCAATTTTCCGCCAAATACTCCATTTTTTGGTGTTTCTTCACTCATTTTAGCTCAATTTTTGAAAATTTAGTCTCATTTGACGCTCTATGAATCCTTTCGCAGACGCTAGTGACCTACTTTTACCAGAAATTGTCTTTTTTCTAACATAATCAATTAATTGAAAGGTTCAGACCGATGGAGGAGGCGAGTTTTTCAATTTGGCCCCAGTGGAGCTTTAAACGCCAGTGGCTCACTTGCGAACATTTTTTCAGAAAAGTCGATAGCGTATTTTTTGTGGGGTTTTTAATGCGCTTTCCAGTGGCGTGCCAGGAATTTTCGCATCATTTTACGTTTCGGAGTTAAGTCCAATTTTTCGCCAAATGCTCCATTTTTCCAGTTTGTCTTCACTCATTTTAGCTCAATTTGCGAAAATTTGGTCTCATTTGACGCTCTATAATTCCTTTTTCGAAAGCCAGTTACTTAATCTTACCAAAAATTGTCTTCTTTCTAACAGAATCAATTAATAGAAACTTTCAGACCGATGGAGGAGGCGAGTTTTCCAATTTGGCCCAAGTAAAGCTTTAAACGCCAGTGTCTCACTAGCGGCTGGCTTTAGCAAAAAAGTCTACCCCACACTTTTTCTGGCGAATTTCAGCAGCTTTCCTGCGGCACCTTCGGAATATTCCTGGCACCTTTAATTTAGAAGTTAAGGCGACTTTTTCGAAAAACACCCCATTGGCAAGCTCGCCTTCACCCTTTCGGCCGAAATCCTGCAAAACTTGCCCTGCGGCTAAACTCTTGACAACAATGCGGCAGCAAAATTTGGCAAACAGGCCACTCAGTGCAAATTCCGCAGGGAATTTCGCCTCCTTCGGCCCAAAGCTGGCTAAATCGTCCAAAACCAGAGCAACCAGCAGCGCGAAACTTAACCTTTGAAGCCCACTGGGCAACGTTGCCATGTTGCAGGAGAAAGGCATCATTTGCCGCGAGGCCTCCAACGAGTGCGACCTGCCCGAGCAATGTTCGGGCGAGTCGGGCGAATGCCCGCCGGACATCCACAAGAAGAACGGCAGTCCCTGCGGGAGCGACAAGGACAAGGGCAAGTGCTTCCACGGCTACTGCCCCACCCTGACTGCGCAGTGCGAGCAACTCTGGGGCTACGGTAAGGCCACGCCCACCTAGGCCCCGCCCCTTAGCGCTAAACACGCGCTGCTATTGGCTGCAGGTAGCATCGGGGCGGCGCAGCAGTGCTTCGACATCTTCAACTCGAAGGGCTCCATCCACGGCCACTGCGGCAAGGACAAGAGCGACAATTACCTGGAGTGCAGCCCGGAAAACGTCCGCTGCGGCTCGCTGCAGTGCCAGCTGGGCGGCCGCTACCCCGCCCTCGAGAAAAAGGACCAGCAGTTCTACCGAACCATCACGAACGTGGGCACCGAAGAGTTCGAGTGCAAGTGAGTAGAGGTTTGCTGGCGATTTCTTGTGCGCACGCGTGGGGCTCCGCAGGTCGATCCTGCGCAGCCGCGAGGCCAATGGGGACCCCGACCAGCTGCCCCCCTTCGGGCTGGTGCGCAGCGGCACCCCCTGCGGCGACAACCTGATCTGCATCAACCAATCGTGCATCGCCATCTTCTCGCACGTGACGCAGGAGCGGTGCCCCACCAATAGCGCTGCAGCTGAGTGCTCAGGGCATGGGGTGAGAGGCTGCGCCGCCTGCAGCTGCAGGGGTTTCTGACCCGGTTTGGGGGTTGCAGCACTGCACCAACGAGAACAAGTGCTTCTGCGAGCTGGGCTACAGCGGCTCCGACTGCTCGATCATGGTGGAGGAGATGACGCCCACCCCGTCGCCCCCTACGCCGCCCCC